TCTATCTCTCTGCAGTGGATGGCTCTGAATTTATTAGCTCTGAATGGCAGACCTAACCAGGCAGCACGAGCAGTCCATAGCTGTCCAGATACAGGAAATACAAAGATGAAAAAAATGGAAATACAAAGCCTAAGGAGAATCTGGTGCCTGGAAGGCACTCACAGCTACTTGAGACCCAAACCATTTCTGTGACAGGAGGCTTCAGTTTTGAAAATGCAGTTGTCTGTAGTGCCTTTGCCCAGTCTGTGCATTGCAGGCTAAAGCCTAGAGCACTTGTGAGACGGGCAGTCTCGGCCACGTCCTGGGAGATTCCTTGGCTGGTGAAGTCCAGCCGAGAATTTCTGCCAAAATTGTCCAGCTGCTCAGCCAGGAAACCATCTCTGAAGCCATGAGGAGCCCAAGGGCCTGACTCCAAATTAGTCCCCTGGCTGTGTGCACTGGGAGAGGCCTGAGTGCTGCTGCCTGCTCGCACAATAATTTGTGCACATTAAATATCTACAGGGCAAAAGAAAAAAAAAAAAAAAGATGGAAAGACCTCATTGCTCATAATTTTAAATACCTTCACATATGCCTTCATTACTGGTTTATGGCATTGCAAACACTTAAGAGAAGCCCTAAGCAGGAAGAATTTTGTACTAAATTACTTCTATCCCTGTGGACTGAATGCATAACCTGGAGCAAGATTTAAGCCTGGATGTAGGGAGGGACTCTTAATTGCCTGGCAGCCTGAAGATTTCCCCATTTTTTCTACTAATTTTCAAAGGATGAGAAAACAGAGTCTCTAGTGGCAGTGCTGAAATTTTAGATGGAAGAAGTGTGAAGCTGCAGTCAGCTATGACTACTAGCGCCTCTAATCCGTGAGACACTTTCCTAACAGAGAATTTAATGTCTGTTGAGGTGAATGAGAGAAATAAACCTTTGGCAGCACATCTACAGGCTTGAGCTTGGGGTCACCTGCAGATGGATACTCAGCCCTGTACAGTGGTAACCCAAACTCTGACATACGGTATGGATGTAACAAGGAGGGGAAGGCTGTAGGGATCCGACAGAACTGATTTAAAGCCATTAGAAAACCCCCAGTGCTCAGCCCCAGACACCCTAGTGTGTACATGTAAAAAACATCAGCACCTGGAGACAACTGTGCTAACACTCAAAAGCCACAGCAGAGAGGGAAATATATTTAAATACAGCATTAGAACGAGGTATCGTAGCCCCAGCACACATGCTGTTTGCCTGCATGCCGCCTGACAACCAGGATAAGAGCTAGGTAAGGCACGTTGTCCAAACCGATAACCCCCCTTTATAAATATCACCTTACCTAAAATTCAGCTAATTTGAACTCCAGGTGATTTTAAGGGAAGTAGTTGTTCTTTTATGCTATTATATATACCATGCCTATGTCTTTAGCTTTCAAGTGCAACAAGTGATGCTGTGTGTTTGGTAAGCTGCCAAAAGGTTGAATTTTCAGAAGAAATGTATGGCTGTACAAATTTGAGCATCATAAGCCATATGAACCACAGAAATGGAAACATTCAGAAACTAAAATCATCTTAGAAAAATTCATTCCCTGTAGGGAGTTTGAATGTACTCAGGAAAGATTCTTTGTTCCCCCCCGCCCCAATAAAAAACAAAACAGAACAGGGAGGTTTCAGGATTCCCACTGCTTTTAGTTCAATTTTCAGTTGTAGGCCTTCCTTCTTTTACTAGCACTTCTCAGTATTTCACTGGGATTTTTTTGCAGGCCACGTTTCCACTTGTGACAGTTGTGATTGTAAAACATTTACGGAAATAGATTTCATACTAAGAATCTTGTTTATGTTAAGACAACATCCAATCATTTCTAATAGATCTTGAAGCCTTTTAATGGAATGAGAGGTGCCTAAGCAATTAATCAGTAATATTTGATACATCAGCTCTAAAGTACACAACAAATATAGCTCTGACCAGATACGCCCAATCACAAAACTAAGCTTAGTGTATCGGTAAATCTCCCCAGCTGACGATTTGGGCTGGGCTGAAATAAATAGATTATTGGTATTATCTACGATCTCAGAAAAGTTGATAGAACTAAATAGAAGCTTGCTAAAACCAGAGGGAGTCTTGCAATCAAATCTACTGTGCTGAATATTTTATCTATTTAAAGTTGTGTCATGTATCATTAGATACTGTGAGATTTAAACAAGTGCCTGACAGCTTGTTTTAATGCATAACACAGCATTTGGGTTTACAGAGTCTGCTTTATGAATATCCTTTTGGTTTTAGATTTTTTTTGAGGTATCTTTCTGTTTTTGAGGAAGGGGATTACTATACTATTATCAAGATGACCTCAACACCTCTTCCCTATTGGAATCTTATCAGTATCCTAACTCCTCTAAAATAACTTAGTAACAGCTAGTAATAAAAACTGTAATGAACAGAATTTGCATTCCTGACCCAATTAGCGTAATTGAATAAGGGGTGGGTTGTGACTTATTTATTAATGAAAGAGACAAATGGGACATCACTGTCTTATTTGGATAACAAAAGCTCCTTTGTCTCCTACACTGGTAGAGATTATACAGTTTAAGATGAACTTTCTGCTCTTAACAGGTTATGCCCCAACCTGAGGGTAGGTTTGTTTGCAAATAAGAATCTTACCAAGTCAGTGGATGTAATTTTTCCCTCTTCCTTCCCCTACAACAGAAACCACTAGGTCATATGGCAGATTCAGGCTTCAGAAATCCTATTCCTTTTGTGAATTAATTTGAAAATATTTTCATCTAATTTTTTAAAAATCTTGTATGACATTACATGACATTTAAAAGCTACATAAACATTAAAGTTTAGCCAAATATACAGTCATCATCTTTCCTGCACCCCCAGAAAACAAAAAGGAAAGCAATTAATCTTTAAATCCTTTTTAATAAATGAATATTCATTCATCAATATTTTCATAAAGCATCTCTTCATCATTCCATTTTACTGTCCTTCTTTTTTTTCCACTGCTGAAGAATACCAAAAATACAGAAATATGCCTGAAGCAAAAACGACTGGGTTTTAGTATATCTTTACAATGGGATGAAAGCAACTTAAGAGTTAAACCACCATCATATTTCTACTGTTTATTGACCCTTAGGGCTATAACACAAGATAATTCCAGTTTTCTTTAATGTCTTTTACAAACAAATGATGTGTAAATGTTATTTATAGCAGTGTGAGTTAGAAACGAGTTAATTAGCTATGAAATACATCACGCTGGTGCAATTTGGTTGGAATTGCCATTTTCAGTCTTAAAGCCACCTATAGTTAAAATCACACACGGCAGTTAGCACAAAGTGACAAGAGCCAGAAAATGAGAGGTCAAGGCAAACACTATTCTTAACACATGGTTGTGTGTCCGTCTGTGTGTAAGAAGTGATGTGAGGACCGGAGGAAGGGAGTTGGCAAAAAAGGCACAAGAATGTGTGTTAAGGATGTAGTGTTAACCTTAAGTGAAAATTTCCTGGCGTTTTTCCAAGTCAAACCCCTATGTGATTCTGCTCAGGGTTCACGCTGATTGTGCCCCATGGAACTTGGCTAGACTCGTGGGAATGAAATCTGATGAAAAAGGTGAAATGTCCAACTGCCTATTTTTGGCAAGGAGAAGAGAAGGTGGTGGTATAAAGTAGTGCTTTGTGAAAGGGGATGCAGGAACATGCATCTGGCTGTGCAAAGAGGGAGACAGAGGAACCTCCTCAAACATGTATTTATTTTCCCTCCCAATCCCGGTTCCTGAAAATGCCTAGTGCTTCTTTATGCAGTCAAGACTACAGTTTTTCCCACTTGCTTGAAAATCCCACTGAAGTCACTGTTGATTTCAACAGAATTCGGAATACACATTTCTATCACAAATAAAATAGTCATTCTTTTTTTTCTTCTTCATATCTGACCATAGGATTCCAGGAGCCGGGACTTTAAGAAAAGTGAGAACTGTGATTAAACCATGAGTGTGAGACCACTGTCTTCCTGAGTCCCATTTTCAGCGTAGTCATTCAGAGCACTTACTGAAGGACTTGCTCCAAAATTGTTTTATTATTAAGGTAATTTTTCTCAACAAAAGCTACAGGTTTTTAAAGTCATTTTTAAGTCAGTTTTTTTAAATTATATTTTGATATCAGGAAAAAAATGTTTGGGAAAAATTTTTAATAATTTTACTGAATATGTACATAGGGAGGGGGTTAGTTGTTCAACTATTTTGTTTATAATGGTGACAATGTGCTCTATAATTCCTTCACAGTTTGAATAGGCATTCGCAAGCTTGTAATACGTTACGGTTTACCAATAGGAACTAATCATG